GAGGAAGAGTGCCAACAGTTGGGGGGAGCAGAAGGAAGAGCGCAGCGCTTCCCGCCTTGCGGTTTCTTCCGTTTGATTTATGATGAACGCAGCTTTTCGACTTTTTGTGCAGATTTTTGGCTTCCATCCGCCCCCGCCCCCTAAAGAACCGCCAACCACTTACCCGCCCTTAAGCCCTGCCTGCCCCAAATGGGATTATTAATTATTTGTAGAGGGATTACGAATAAAAGCTTTGAATTTATTGCACTGCTTGCGACAAATTTTGTGTCGTTTGTTTGCCAAAAGTTCAGTGTTTGAACGGAAAAGGTTATCTAATTTTGTTTTTGGCTGGAATTAAGTAATATGAGAATGGATAAGGCACACAATTTCCCAAGTAATTCCCCAAGTAATTTCCCAAGTAATTCCCCTCTCTTAAATCCCTAAAATCCTTTGGGTCTCATGCCTCATTGCACCTTCATTATGTCCCCCCCTAATTGAAGTCATTATCATGGGCGCTACACAGAGCTCTCTCCCACTGGCCATTAAAAAAATGGAATGAATACATAAGCGGCAGCAGCAGCAGGAGCAGCACATCCGCGCCGCCTTTTAATTGCTTGACTAAATATCCACACAGCACAGAACACAAAAAACGTTGGCTTATAATATTTCAAAATTTATTTTACAAAACAGAAACGGAAAAAAAAACTAAAAAATTCCCACGACCACCGACACTGCAGCAGAGCAGAGCAGCAGCAGCAGCAGCAGCAGCAGAAGGAGAGTAGTAGGAGAGGGGGGACAGGAGGAGGAAGAGCATAAAGAATTATAAATTCCATAGCAGTAGTGCGAGAGGGAAACCCTCGCAGGACTTTAAAAGGAAGAGGCACCGCACCACTCCGGGGTTCAGTGGTGGTTGTACGTGCGTACCACTGGTTCCATGCCCTTGCCCCCGGGTACCCTTGTCCCTTATGTCTGCCCCCAGACAGTAGCGTCGTATGGCGGGAATAATTATAATTTTATATCATGTACTGGCAAAAAGAAGAAACAAAAAAAAAGAAGCCATAGGATGTGTGTATCCTTTCGGTTTCTGTTTCTGCTACTGCTACTTGCTACTGCTACTGCTTCTGTGTTCCTGACCAACACAAGAAGAGCGTGTGAAAATGCATTTTCAAGTGCAAGTTTTGACACTGAAAATACGTACATACATGTGCACAAGGGGTTAAGGGTGAGAATAGATGGCAACGAAGAACTAAAAGTATCTTTAGGGAATGTTACACCCAAATCAAGCTAAAAGTTTCCATACTTATTAGAGAGTTTCTATGTCAAAAGAACTCAAGCTAAAGTACCCGTATATTTCACACATAATATCCAAAAGCTATTCATATTATTTTCTTGATTACATAGCCAGGTTATCCTCTATCCTCTATATTTTACAAGGAGTAATCATCAGAAGTCTAACCAAATTAATTGAGTTCTTCATTGCACTGCTAGAATTTCTAGAACAAAAGCTGCACAATGTGCAAGGCCCCAAAGCCCACTGCCACTTTGAAGATGGGTTTCCATTTGCAACAATTGACAGACCTGCAATTTCCAAGCTTGGAAAATATTTCACATTTTCCCCCATTGAAAATCCCATTTTTGCTCTGGCAAAATCCCATTACAATCCCAGGCAGGGCACCCATGCCCCTTGCTGCCCTGCCTTCGTACGTGATTTCCATTTAATCTTTCTGCATAACAATTGCCACCCATAAAGCCCTTTTGTGGATTCCACAGACTCGCAGTGTCCCCCCACCCAGCCAACCGCTCATGGATATTATGGAACTGCAGCAGGATGGCCAGCCTACACTTTGGCATAGAAATATTGAACAATAAAGGATGCAGCAGGAAAGCAGAAGGGATTGGGGTTCGGGTTGATATGCTGCTGAAACTTTTCTAATGGGATTTCCTAGCTGACAATTTTCTCTATCTCTCTTTACTCACTACCCACTGGCACTCTGGCATGACACCTCCCACTGCAATCAACATTCAGAGGCTACCACCCTCTACCCCTCTCTCCTGGTGCAACGTGCAACAAGTGTCGTTGGCCTTTTGAGGGCAAAAAATAGCAAAAATTAATTACTTTGGTGGCGAACGGGGGCTAACCACCCACCCACCCACTCCACGCTTGAAGCTTGATTGTGGTTATGCAATACAAATTAGTGGTAGAAACAGACATATAGCAGATATACATATATACATAGTATAGCGATGTATAAAAAGTGTCATTGACTGTGCTTGTTGCCAGGGTTAATTGTTTAATGCTGAATTAAAAACATGTCACGACATTTTGCAGCAGTCTCCACTCGCTCTCGTTCTCGCTATTCATGCCAGAACCAACACCCCATAGAGGGAGTGATACACAGGCATTATGATACGATGATTTATGGCTGGTTTATGGTCCAGTGAGCATAAAACTCAAAGAGTTAATGAATTAATTAGTAGAGTAGCGGGACAGACACTCTTTTCGAAGCCTGGCTAAAGGTCAATGAGGGGCGCAGACTTGTTTAATTTGTGGTTGATGGTGGGAGGAAGGGAACTCAGAGAACCAATCGTGAACCCTAAAGAAAAACCCTCTTCAAACACGAACCCATCCGCTAATCGATTTGATTTGTTTAACCTGCTTAAATCATGGAAATTAATCAGGGCTAAAATAAATATAAACACTGATAAAAAAAAGAGTATCTTTCCTTCCCTCCATATTTCATATATGATTATTATTATTATTATATAGATTTTTATCAGCGTATAAATTGCAGTTGGGATCTCTGTCTGATATTCTTGGGCAAACACCACGTACCCGGTGTGCCCATACACCGTACCGAGATTTTTTTTGTATTTTTATGGCTGTTGGCGAGAAGAACCTGTTTCGGTTTCGTGTCTGTCGGTCTGGCTTATTGGTTGAATGAACCCTTCCGGTTGTTGGTGTTGCCCCCAAAACACTCTCTGCTCACCCCCTCCTCCTCTCTGATGTGTTATAGGCCCCCCACCTCTTGATCGATTGTTGTTGTCATTTATGAAATCATGCCTCATTTTAGTGCGTGATTTGGTTGCTAGTTTTGGGTTTTTCTTTTCTTTTTGATATCGCTTTACATCTACATCTCTTTGCCGCTCTCTGGGGCATGAATCATCCAAGTATCTGAAAGTTACAAGTCAAGTGGCTATTTTTTAATGCTCTTTATGAATGTTGAGTCCATGAGTTTTTCCTTGATTTTATTCGATTTTTTAAATGAGAAATTAAATTAGCAGAAATTCCGAACGTTTTTTTTTTATTGCTTTTGCCAGTAGAACTTTTCATGGCAAAAGGTTCTGCTGTACTCCAAGCAAATTGGCGCCTCGAATAAATTTATTTTATACCCAAAAAAAACATCTCTAAATTAGTTGCTGCCCACTACAGACCATCGGCTGACCCACTTTGAAAATTGTTTATGGCCTTTTTGGTTTCGATTAGCCAGCCATCTCTTTGCGGAGGGGGAAAAATGCAGTCAAACAGCATCCCATGCTGCCATGCAAAGAGTCAACGCCCTTCTTTGGAACGAACGCCTTCTAATGAACAGAGAAAAACCAGAGCCGAAGCTACAGTAAAAACCAAAGCCAAAGCCAAAGCCGAAGCCAACAAATTGTGGGATTGCCCTTGTGGTCACCAAAGAACCCGCAAGAACCAAACCAAAAACTTTGAGCCATCTTTAAGTAAATAAATTTGTTGAGAGAACTGGTTTTCGAATCCCCCCACCCCCCATCCACATGAAGAAAGCAGAAAGTCGCCTCAATGTTGCAATGGAATTTGGGAAAACGTTCGAAACTTTTATTCACCGCTGCACCAGAGCTGAAAGCACACGAAAATCTCGGATTAGTTGGGTAAATAGTGAACAGTAAGCAATAAGCTCAATTAGGAAACACTGTTTGTGTTTTTCTGGCCAATTAGCAGGGCCGGGCTAATAGAAAAAGCAGTGGAAATGCAGGGAAAAACAGTTCAACAATACAGCAGCACTCAAGGAAATGTACAGGTCTTCTCAGGTCTTAAGATCTCTAGACAGTTGGACAAACAAACGAAAAGATTAAACCTTATTTATTTCATTTAAATATAACAGATAATCTGAACGTTAGGCAACATTGTTTAACTTTAAAGTTTATCTTGTCTAAGTTTAAACAGACAAAAACAGAATGTAGCAAACAATTTTTGTTAATTGTTTTTCCCACAAAATTTCCTACTAAAATTTTAGTAGAAATCACTCAAAAGTCAAGTCAAAGCGCATTAATTTTTTGCCCACAAATATAAAAAAAATAAAAAAAAAAGAAAAGCTACAAAATTCTGTTTTGATTTTTGTTTGATAATGAAAGACGCTTAACGATACTCCGACCGTTGCTGATACTACAGTTATCAGACGTAGCGCGTTTACCGCAATATGAGGCATGTGATTAAGTCACAAAAATGTCAGCACGCTGTCGCCGCATCGCTGGGAAAACAAAAGCCCCCAAAAGCAAATAAAAGTGAAATATGTTATATATATTAAACAAAAAAAAAAAAAAAACAACAAAAAATAATTTATATCTCTGGGCAAACAATTACGTGAGACAGACACCCCAAGCCACCCACAGACGTAGGGAGTTCGTTCTTTTTGCTCTCTTGGATTTTTAGTTGTAGTTGCAGTAATTCCGTGAAGGTTGCTTTGGAGCGAGTGTGGAAGGAGAAGCATCCCCTAGCAGAGCACAGCTGATCTGTCTCTCTCTCTGTCGGATTTAATTGAGGGGCGTTTGCATCGGCGAATCAATTTATGCCATTTAATATTTTACGATAAGCTGCACAAAGTGCTTTCATGTGTCCATAGTTGACAGGGTGGGGAATACTTAGCGTTAGAGGGTCATGTGAGTCATTGAAAACGTCAAGGCAGATAAAGAGAGTTCCAGTTCCAACGTCAGACCAGAGACCAACTCATTCAACGCTACAAAAAAATATAAATACACTTTTCTACACACTTTACTTGCAGATCGTTCATCAATTTAATTTAATCAATAATCAATAATCGAACTAATCAAAAAGCATAACTCAAATTCAATGAACAAATAAATAAACTCAAACCAACGAGCCAATACAATAAATAAATCAATAAAAAATAATAACAACAACAAGAACAAGAAACAAACGAAAAGTACGCTGCTGGCCATCTGGCAACGCTTTGCTTTCCACCACTCCAAACGGAAGCTTGTAACGGTTATTCCACAGAATTTACTCACGCCTCGATCCTCACGTGTGTGCCTGTGTGTGTGTGTGTGTGTGTGAGCGTGTAGGATATATACGCTTAAAGGCAAGTGCGAAAGAGCCGGCAAGCAAAAGCCATGGGAAACTCATCGTCACACACGCACGAACCACTGGAGCGCGGCTTCACACGCGGAAAATTTGGTGATGTTAAAAATGGGGTAGGTTCCTCCCCTCTCTCTCTCTCTCTCTGCCCCTAAACACCAACAGTTCCTGTTCTCCGCTCTCCACGGGGTTGCACTTGTTTCGATCTCTTTTGGTGCTCTCTTTGTTGCATTTTGTGTGCATTTTTAATTAATTAATTGCGTTTCCTTTTATCTGTCATAGAAATCCGCCTCCTTTCGGTTTAGTAAAAAATCCCCAAAGAAAATGGATCGTTTGCGTCGCTCGTTTCGCGACTCGTTCCGTCGGCGCAAGGATCGTGTGCCCGAATCCTCGAAGCCGCATCAGTGGCAGGCCGACGAGGAGGCCGTTCGCTCCGCCACCTGCTCCTTCTCCGTGAAGTATCTCGGCTGTGTGGAGGTCTTCGAGTCGCGCGGCATGCAGGTGTGCGAGGAGGCCCTTAAGGTGTTGAGGGTAAGTGTGTCCCCCCCCCCCCCCCCCCCCTCTCTCTTCCACTGTTGACCCCTTATTAATTATTCCTTTTCCGTTTAGCAATCTCGACGTCGTCCTGTGCGCGGACTCCTTCATGTGAGCGGCGATGGGCTGCGCGTGGTGGATGATGAGACGAAGGGCCTGATTGTGGACCAGACCATCGAGAAGGTGAGCTTCTGTGCCCCGGATCGCAATCACGAGCGCGGCTTCAGCTACATTTGCCGTGATGGTACCACACGGCGCTGGATGTGTCACGGATTCCTCGCGTGCAAGGACTCTGGCGAGCGGCTCTCGCATGCGGTCGGCTGCGCCTTTGCCGTGTGTCTGGAGCGCAAGCAGCGCCGCGACAAGGAGTGCGGCGTCACGATGACCTTCGACACGAAGAACTCGACGTTCACGCGCACGGGCTCCTTCCGGCAGCAGACGCTGACCGAGCGCCTGGCCATGGCCACTGTGGGGACGAACGAGCGGAGCGTGGACGGGCCGATGTCCGTGGCAGTGATGGGGCCGCCGGCAGCCACCGTCAAGCCGTTCAATCCGTTCGCCATCGAGCGACCCCACGCCACGCCCAACATGCTGGAGCGTCAGGGCTCCTTCCGCTTGAGCACCATCGGCAGCCAGTCGCCGTTCAAGCGCCAAATGTCGCTGCGCGTCAATGATCTTCCGTCCAACGCCGATCGCCAGAAGGCCTTTCTGGCCGCCGCCGCCGGCAATTCGTCGTTGCACACGCCCCTACGCAGCGTCTCCCCCATTGCCGAGGTGTCGCCGGCAAAGACCGCGGGCGATTCAGCCGCCGCCGCTGCGGCTGCCGATTCGGTGAGTCAGCTGTGCCAGGAGCTCAGCCAGGGTCTCTCGCTGCTGACCCAAACGGACGCCCTGCTGGCCGCCGCCGCCGCCGGCGACGACCTCAACTTCAACAACAACCGCAGCATCAACCAGAACATCATTGCTGCCGAAAAACAGCAGCAGGTAATCTCATACAGCAGCGCCCCCACGGCCCAGGTGACGCCCCGTGTGGTCAGCACCACGCCCACTTATCAGACACTCTCCTCGCAGTCGCCGACGCGATCGGAGCAGAGTTCGGATGCCGCCGCTGCCGCTGCCGTTGCCGTTGCCGCGGAGCAGCTGCCCAACGCGGAGCAATGGCTGGGACAGGTGGTGCGGAGTACATCGCCAGCGGCGGTGGCAGCACCACCCAAGCGACCCACCTATCTGGCCAATGTGGGACGCGCACAGACGCTGGCTGCTGGAGGTGGCTCCGCCAGAGGAGGAGGGGGAGGAGGCGGACCCGAGGATCCCTTCGATGCCGAGTGGGCGGCCAATGTGGCGGCGGCAAAGAAACTATCGCCAGATATGCCGCTGGCCGGTGGCACTGCACGCTCGCCAATGCATGCCAGGCACAGCACCAATCCGTTCATCTCACCGCCCAAGGCGCCGGCGCAGACATTCCAGGTGCAACTATAGACAGAGACAGAGAGAGAGATCGATCCTAGGCGATCACGCAGGGGGTCAAAGTGTGGTACACTTGAAAAAAACACAGGAGGGGCGGCCAAGCACACGGGATAAAAGGATGCAGGATGCAGAATGCAGGATGGATGGATGAGTGGTTAACACAGAAAAGATACACAGATACTTAACGCAGACATAAATAATGTTGAAATATAGAAGAAATACGCATAAAGGATTCCACACCCCCCACCACCACCACCAGCCACTTAATCTGCTTTTAAAATAAAAGAAACGATAGTGAGAGAGGGAGGGAGAGATGGAGAGAGAGAGAGAGAGAGATATCTATAAGCCACACTCTTAGCACTAACTTTAGGCCAGAAACAGAACAATTGACCAAGCTACCAAGTTACCCATAAAGAGATCAGCGCACCCAATCCGTTTTACACGCTCCTATTAAATCTGTATTATACTTTGGTAATATTCCACCCCCGCCCAACCCTTCCAATCAATCCCACTATAAGTATAATATATATATATACAAATATCTGCTATATAGGAAACACTCGTCTTATCTGATTATTATTATTATTTTAATTATTTGCGTCATTTGCGTGTGTGCGGAATTTCACATTTTTATATAATTTAGCCTAATTTTTAAATCTGTACAAAATGTATTATACTTAAATTATAAATATAATTTAAAGAGCAAAACGTAAACAAAACAAAAACGAGAAAAACTTCAAGTTATTTAAATGGATAAAAATTAAAATAAATCAAGCAGCTAAACAAAATTCTACTAATGAAAATACACTGATAAATAAATAAATAAATAAAGTTAAATATATATAGAAGATACATATATACATACATACATACATTACATATGTAAAAGACAAAGCGATAAATACATTCGATTTGTGTGCGTTGTGTGCTTCATGTGAAATGTGATTTTTGTGTTTCCGAATTTTACTCCCCATTTTTTTTTGAACGCTGAGATGAGATTTATTTAACGAAAATAATTCCATATTAAATTGTAGAATGAAATGCACCAAAATGTTACTGAATATTTGGATATAACTATTCACGAAAACTAGTTCAAGCCTTAGATAGACTCATCCATACAACAAATTTAGAGGGAATCCAAGAATTCCAATTAGTATCGAACGATCCAACACGTTCGCCTGGAGTGCATCGTTCCTATATACATATACATATATATCAGAGGAGATCTATTGTAGCTGTACATATATAATCAAAGATTCGATTCGAAACAACTATTTACATTTTCATTTGCCTTGCAAAACAAAAATGTCACCGCAGGCTTCGTTTGGATATGGTTTCCATTGTTTCCCCACTTCGACACAGAACTTTTCTATATATTTACACTGATTAAGGGCACCCTTTAAAGACTTTAATCGAAAGGAAATCTATCTAAAAATTGACAAAAAAAATTGTGTCTCTAAATAAAATAAAAATTATTAAGGCTCCAAAGTGAAAAAAAACAAACATTAAACATTTTACAATGTAAAAACAACAACAGAAAATTCTATAAAAATAACATATATTATCATACATAGGAAATGCATATCATATCGTTTCGTTTGACGTTTAGTGAAAATTGACAATGCACACATACACGCATAAAATACCTTACAATAACAAAAAAAAAAAAATTAAATTATTATCAAATGCCACCACATAGTATCTGAGATATTGTGTATTATGTTTATCCGTTTTGTACGACAAAAGTATCGAACAAGAGTATTGAAATACAGGACACGAAATCGTTATTGCATATTCGGGTATTGTGAAGTATTTGGCATTGATTTGAGCGTTAAATAAATTATACAAAAAATCAATTTAAACCTTGAACGTACATTTGAATTTTCATTGTGGCGGGATTTTGCAGCGGGCGCCACCTGTGGGATGGAGTGCGAGTTGTCTCCCTAGTTCAATCCGCAGACGCGTATGGCGCCACTGTGCACTCATGTCTCTCAACTCACTCACCTCTATCCTCATGCTGCTCTGCAGCCTTTTCGCTTTGGCATCTTTTACCGTTACAATTAGCAATGCGCTCTTTGCTGTCTTCTCTCACACATTCCTTCTCGCCGCGCTCTTCTTCTTTGCTGACACTGCAGCGTCCAGCTGCCGTGCCGCCATTTTCACTGCACCGTTGCACCGAAATAAGTTAATAAATCAATTAAATAATGTTATTTCGTACACATGGAACACTTAATACACTTTTTACACTGCCCCTGCACACGTTTGAACACTTTTCTGGCCGCGATCCTTGTTTTTTCTGCCAATTACCCGATTTTCATACATATTTCGATGCTTACTATTGCCCACACTGCACCGCACAACAGCGGGACAACATTTTCCGACGATTTCCCACTTTTCACGGACGAACACGCGGAGCTCGACTTGTCGATCCAATTGCGGCGGGAAAAATGAGAGATTGGCGCCGGTCACGCAGGCGACGGCGGCTTGAAGCTTCACTCACTCTCACTCTCTCTCTCTCCTGCTCACTCTGCTGACAGTTGAGTGGGAGGAGTATGTGTCGGCAACTTGTTGACACTTATACCTGTGGGTGGTGTTGCTGTGGGTCAAGTGCGATTGCAGCCTTTTAACAGGATCATGTAGCTTGCAAGTATAACTTGACCCCAAGAGACTCAAGAGACATTGGCAGAGACGATGAGAGGTGTGAGAGGGTTCAGTCGTACACAGCTAACGGAAAATAAATATATTGCGTACTTCCCATTGATTTCGAATATATTCCTACCATCAACAATGTGTGACGTTAACATAAACAACCAATAACAAGCCAACGGAAGCGTTTCCGACCCCGTAAAGTAAAGGTTCACATTTTGAAGCAGCTTAATTTTAAGACAGCCTCTTTCCTTAGTTGGTAAAAGATCATAAATTGCGATTTTCCAAATGGATGGCATACTTAATAAAAATATTTCAATTTTAAAAAGAAAAGCAGATTTTTTTTATCGCAAAACATTTTGGGAATATTGATAGCAATAAGTTGCGAAAGTTGAGGGGTCAAGTTATACATGCATGCTACATGATCCTGTTAAAAGGCTGCAATCCAATCGCAATCCACAGCCATGTGTCAACAAGTTGCCGACACATACTCCTCCCACTCAACTGTCAGCAGAGTGAGCAGGAGAGAGAGAGAGTGAGAGTGAGTGAAGCTTCAAGCCGCCGTCGCCTGCGTGAACGGCGCCAATCTCTCATTTTTCCCGCCGCAATTGGATCGACAAGTCGAGCTCCGCGTGTTCGTCCGTGAAAAGTGGGAAATCGTCGGAAAATGTTGTCCCGCTGTTGTGCGGTGCAGTGTGGGCAATAGTAAGCATCGAAATATGTATGAAAATCGGGTAATTGGCAGAAAAAACAAGGATCGCGGCCAGAAAAGTGTTCAAACGTGTGCAGGGGCAGTGTAAAAAGTGTATTAAGTGTTCCATGTGTACGAAATAACATTATTTAATTGATTTATTAACTTATTTCTGTGCAACGGTGCAGTGAAAATGGCGGCACGGCAGCTGGACGCTGCAGTGTCAGCAAAGAAGAAGAGCGCGGCGGGAAGGAATGTGTGAGAGAGGACTGCAAAGAGCGCATTGCTAATTGTAGCGGTAAAAGATCGCAAAAGCTGCATAGCAGAATGAGGATAGAGGTGAGTGAGTTGAGAGACATGAGGTGTACAGTGGCGCCATACGCGTCTGCGTATTGAACTAGGGAGCCAGCTCGTTCTTCCTTCCACAGTGGCCTCCCACGTTAAATTTTTAATTGATTTTTGTATGATTTATTTATTGCTCAAATGAATGCCAATTGCGTAAAATTTCATTAATTTAATTACTTACTTCAACAATAGTATTATTTTATCAGCGAACAAAACATCTAAGTTTTTCATGCGCCCCTATCTAGTGTTTAAGATTGTAACTAGATAAGCGATGGTGCAACTATGGAATAAGAAAAAAAGGTCCTTGCGATTTTTGGATGCTACGTTATTCTGTGTTCTAAAACATCGCCAAAACATAGAAAAGTCATCGGAACAACATAGAAAAACAACGAAATTAGATAGCGTCCACAAATCGCATATAACTTTTACTCTCATTCCATAGGTGGCGTACTGGTGTGTGCAGTTATGCTACTCAGCACTAGATGGCGCCGTGTAGCTCTTGCGATAAAATTATGTTCGATAAATGTAAATACTGAGATACGTTTTACCTCTTATTAATTCTCTAGTTTATTGAGAGCACTGAAAAAGGAAGAGCATGAGAAATGATGCGGCTCCTCTATGGACGTACTCCTGTGACACAAAAGTGTACCTCCTCGACCTTAACTGCGTTGTATTATTTTCTTAATATCTTCCATTGAAAACAATAAAGTTGACAACAGTTTAACTTCACTTTGATTTCCCCTAAAGCAGATAAAACAACAAATTAGAGAATTCAAAGAGAAAACTATGCTTGTGCGACCTGCCCAATCCCCTCTAAAAATAAAGACAGATTTGCATTATAATCCGGCTGCTGCTGTTCCCGCTCTTTCCATGGCAGACGGGGGGGACATAAGGGAGAGACTACCATCAGCCATCAAACATAATTACTTGCCCACGAGGCATGCGCCAGGTGACATTTCAGTGGCTACTTCGTCCTTCGTCCCTTACTACTCTGACGTTCATTAAGCGGTGCTGCCAACTTTAAGGAGAGCTTCCTTCAAGGCTGCGTTGCCCTGTAAAACCCCTCCCTGCCACCCACCCGCCTCCCTTGCCTACGGGGCATCTTTGATAATGAATTTCGTTGGTGGGTGCCCTTTTAAGTAGACTACGGTTTCTATATCCTGTAATTGTGGCATGGAAAAGGGCATGCTGCAGCATGCTGTGTGCAAGAAAATCTTTAATAAACTTTAAAGTATTTATTTTTATTTATTTATCCAACGAAAATCCCCCAGAATTATTACACAATAAAGAGAGCAAATCCAAGTAGCAGGTATCCCCACGGTCTTGGCCTCTTTTATAAATAGCATTAATTGTGGGCACGGGTTAACGCGGAATGAGCTGGGTCTCCAGCCATATGATCGGGTACGAATTTGAGACCCGTTTCAGACGTGACGTCTGCCCCTTTCCCTTGCCCCCGCGCAACGTGCACTTGCAGCAGCGCAATCAACTGTCAATGAACTCGAAGCAATTTTGTTAACAAGTTTCTGGTTTCTATAAAGAATTGAAAAATCGCCTAAACCAACAAATAACTGCAGCTCGTAACCCGGTCGTCCGACAAAACTTAACATATATACCATCAACTACGACTCCAGGAGTTTCTTTTGCTCAGGCGTTAAGTTACAACAACGGGTCGTACGCCTCAGTCTCTAAGCCGACACTTCAACCAACCACAGCTGGAATAATGCAGAATCAGGCATCAAATCAGATCCCAGAAATCTCTGCCCAACATACCCCTGCTAATCCATCCCAATTGCCTAGTGGAATTGAGTCAATGCTGGTAACTATAACAAATACAATGGTAGCAATACAACAAACGATGCAGGAGCTTATGCGCAACCAAAATCTCCTCCTGGAGCTCCTAATCAAACAGAAATCTGTTTAAATGTCCTGTCTAAATATATGTTTCTGGAATGCAAATGGCATTTCTCAGCACAAA